AAGTAGTAATGTTTGGTAAATGTACGAAAGATTGACGCGAATATAAATTTATCGATATCATCGGTGACAAAATCTTCGATGGTACTGTCTAAGAATTCAAAGAGTTCTTCTTTGTAAGAGGTGTTGATTTTACTCTCGATTTCATTGAAAAGATCTTGATGTTTTTTGATGATTTTTTCACAGATTCTTTTCTTGGCTTCTTCGATCGCGTTGTTTAACGTGAGTTTGAACTTGGTTTTTTCTTCGTTATCGATGATTTCTTTGTTCGTGATTTTACCTATTTTAATGGACGCCTTTTTGGTTGTTTCATTATACGCGATGAGATAGTAGTAATTTCTGTAGAGTTCGCTGTATATCAGCGATTTCAGGATTTTTTCATCTTTTTCTTGGTTCATTTTCTTTGTTGTTTGTTGTAATTTTTTAACGTACCTATATATAATTTTAAAAATTACCATTTGTGGAGAATCTATATTTGGAAATTAAAAAGAATATAACTACGGTAAGATCGTATATAAGAATTAAAAAATGGAACGTTCTTTAGTTCTATCTCATTATTTTTTCTCAAACATGTCTAGGTATTTTACTTTATTTCATTTTTTATTTAACAAATTTACTAAATTTTATTTATTTTAGTAGCAGTGATGAAGATATCGGTTATATTTCCTTAACCGAACACAACAATCAAATAAACAAAGTTCATAATCGTTACTCAAGAGAAAAAGAAAAAGACAGACAATTAGAACGAGAAAAACTCGATCGAAAAGAGAAAAGAGAAGAAAAAAAATATAAATTTATATTAAACATTATAATAATTATTTCAATTATTATCTTTATTTTTGTTTTTTTTCTTGTTTCGATTTATTGTTTGTATCAAGAAAAAATGGTTGTTTCCATAGCAAGCGCGTTGATAAGTGGGTTAATTGGTTGCATAACTGCTTATTTTCAACTCAGAAAATAATTAAATTCTTTGTTAATTTAAGAAAGTTTCCTGTCAAGTGATTAGTAAATTTAAGTATCTGAATCTTGATATTCAATTACATGTTTCAATAAATTCTTGTTTATTTTTGTTTAAATTTGTTAAATTTTATTTATTTTAATAGCAGTTAAGAGGATATTAACAGAACAATCATAACCGTCACTCAAGAGAAAGACAATTTGAACGAGAAGAAAAAATCAAAATATAAATTTATATTGCTTTAAAAGTGGGCTAACTGTTTATTTCAATTCAGAAAATAATAATATATATTTAATTTTAAAAAATGAAATTTCTAATTGAAATTCTTTCTTGAGTTTTATCTTTTCTTCTGTTAATTCGCGGAGAGGATCTTCATTTATTTTATTTCTTAATTTGAGATTCATTGAGAAAGTATACTTCTTCATTATCCGAGTCCATTCCAGAAGGTGCGCAATACTTGT